TAATTATTCAATAATTCTTTATAATAAGAATCTTTACAAAGCATTTCTCTCGTAAAAAAATAATTTCCTTTACAATTCTATTTTTTCCATGTGTCGTGGCTCTTCACAGGCAATGATGGTTCTCCACAACTTCCCATGGTTTGTATGTCTTAGCAATTTATGTCTTTACCCCCACCACTTGTTCTGCCATTGATTGACACAAGTTGGTTAGTTAGGTTACTCGTTGTTTCCCGCTGTCCATCTTCATTCAAAGTCCAATATATATCTTGAGTGTCAAGTTTTTCATGTCTTTTTCAAAACGTATAAATACGTTTCAAAACGTAAAAATAGAAGTGATGCCCGTTCAACCGGCTGCACCATAGCACGTGGCCGCCCCCAAAAACGCATACTACCCTCGCCGCACAGCAAAATTACTATGTAGAATCCAAAATACAGAAATTGACCATCCAAAAACAACATCCTTGATAATGGCTAGAGAACTAGCCAAAAGCGTTCGGAACAATTATAACTGTGGACAATTTCTATGTTCTTTAACCTCCTGAAAAACGGAAAAATGTTAGAATGCTAGAAAAACTCAATAAAGGATTGATTACATCTTCCTTGTAAGCGCTTTTCAATGAAAGATGCTTGAAAGAAAGTTTCCTGCCCAAACACACACACACACACACACACACATATATATATATATATATATATATATATATATGTATATCAAATCACTTGTATGTGTTTTATGGCGGTTTACCTTGATTCGTTCTTAGGGGCTACAGGAATGTAGGACGCCCATGGCTAAGATACAAAGACAAGCTAAAAAGCAAATTGTTAGCAGTCAATATACCACATAACACCCTTGAGCGCTTAGCTTTGGAGCGGGTAGAATGGAGATCAATATGTTTTAGTGGACTCAGCAATTTTCAATCTGCTTGTCTAAATCATCTTCAAGAAGCGAGAGCAAGATCTAAAAGGTCAGCCAATCTAACAGTGATCTCATCTCGCATTCCTCACACTTGCTCCATATGTGGCCTCCTTTGTAAATCACTAGCGGGTCTTAAATGCCACTTAAGATTATCGCACAAACTTAGTCCCCCGTGTATTTATACGTTTTGAAAATGTGCTGCCTTGCTGTAGATATATTTGGTCAGTCGAATGAATGGAAGTTTTGACGTATTTATTTCATAAAGCCCACAGCTCGATCTTCTTCAAAATTTCACAATTCCTGCACGAAATAAAATCGCGCATTTTCGGTGGAATAATGGTTAGCGGCTTGGACTGAGGAATCGGAGAGCCGAGTTCGAATTCCAGTCGAATCCATTACATTCACTCACGTGCTAATTCCTTTGGGAAAGGTATGGATCCTCGTCTTCTCCCCCCCAGCTATGAGTAAATATCAAGAAAGTTTCTGTAGCCTTGGATGTCAACTGGTCTACCGCAGAAAAAAATGGCAACATAATGCGGTAAAAAAAAATCTGCCTCGTCAGTCATGTATCGGAAGATACATGATCGCCTAAGCGTGTATCGCATATGGCACATAACTGACTGAATTTCTTGGAAGAACACGTTAGTTTTTACGAAAATCTTTATTTCCTTTATACAATTGATTTGTATTGACGAAGGGCGAGGTATTTATTATCATTGGTCAAACACAAACGTGCGTAAGTTATACATTCAAGCGTATATAAATACAGACAATGGGTCGCAAAACACACACACACACACACATACATGAGAATGTTTAAGTAATAAAACTATCGGATTAATAAATAAAAATCCATGACGTCTTTAGAACTTGCTCTGTTTAAGTTAATATACGAAACAGCAGATATGTATATTTCGAGTTTCTGAGGAAGATTTACGTTTATAAAGTCCTATTTAAGCCTTCTTGGTTGTCGTTGCCCTTCGTGGCTTGGGAGGTCTAAAACTTGCTCGGATCTAACGACAATTTAACATGCCAAGGTGGTAGCAGCGCAGGCTCAAATCCTCCCGGAGAGCGTTTCCTTTTTTTTTTTTTTTTTTTTTTTAGCAAGATTTCTCGAATATTCAGTCTGGTAGACGAAAAATAAATAAATATACCGTTTAATCATTAAAATAAATAAATATACTGTTTAATCATTAAACGGAGCGTCTACTCAAATACGGGTAACCACTAAAAATTTAAGGAATAAAATCTGTTGGATTAATAAATAAAAAACACCACTTCTTTAGTAATTACACATACACACATAAATAAATAAATAAAAAGAGAGATGATGAAGCGCGAGTAGTGTAACGGTTATCGGCGTGGAAACGGCGATCTGATTTCAAATTCCAGGTTAATCTGTTACTTTCATTTTCAAATTAATGTGCTGGAGAAATGCAAACAATCTGAGAGAAAAACTCTGAATTCCAATCGACAGATAAGGCAACAGGAAATCACTCTAGTATCTTTCCCAAGACGTCAACGAAGAAAAGGAAGCTGGGGAGATATATGATCACCTACATCCAGAAAGCCATTAAGAATATATATATATATATATATATATATATAATGGACTCTCCCGTCGGTTTCGACGTACGAGGATCTGACAGCTTATTGATTCAGTTATGGAAGTTTGTGCGATAATCTTAAGTGACATTTAAGACCCGTTGGTGATTTACAAAGGAGAGCACATATAGAGCAAGTGTGAGGATTGCGAGATGAGATCACTGTTAGATTGCCTGACCTTTTAGATCTTGCTCTCGCTTCTTGAAGATGATTCAGACAAGCAGATTGAAAATTGCTGAGTCCACTAAAACACGTTGATCTCCATTCTACCGCTCCAAAGCTAAGCGCTCAAGGGTGTTATGTGGTATATTGACTGCTAACAATTTGCTTTTTAGCTTGTCTTTGTATCTTAGCCATGGGCGTCCTACATTCCTGTAGCCCCTAAGAACGAATCCAGGTAAACCGCCATAAAACCCACACAAGTGATTTGATATACATATATATATATATATATATATATATATATATATATATATATATATATATATATATATATATATATGTGTGTGTGTGTGTGTGTGTGTGTCTGTGTGTGTGTTTGGGCAGGAAACTTTCTTTCAAGCATCTTTCATTGAAAAGCGCTTACAAGGAAGATGTAATCAATCCTTTATTGAGTTTTTCTAGCATTCTAACATTTTTCCGTTTTTCAGGAGGTTAAAGAACATAGAAATTGTCCACAGTTATAATTGTTCCGAACGCTTTTGGCTAGTTCTCTAGCCATTATCAAGGATGTTGTTTTTGGATGGTCAATTTCTGTGTATTGGATTCTACATAGTAATTTTGCTGTGCGGCGAGGGTAGTATGCTTTTTTGGGGCGGCCACGTGCTATGGTGCAGCCGGTTGAACGGGCATCACTTCTATTTTTTAGAACATCTTTAACACGCCATATATTCTTTAAGCCCTGAAAACTGCTAGAATACTGAAAAAACTCAATAAAGGATTAATTGACGGCTGTTTTCTTTTAAGCGATCGGATATCTAGTCACACTGATGAGCTGTGATACAGCGAAACAGTCTGTCTGTCGATGACGATATGTTCATAGATTGAAAGAAAATGGAAGTCATAATTGTGAATATACTGTCTATGCGTTGTCCTGTATTTTCAGCCGTTTCTATGATTCTCAAGAACTTAATCTCGTCGGTACTGTAAACAAAATTTTTCTTAACTACAGCTGGGCATTTTTGGAATGGTACATTTCAAATTTAAATGCAAATATAGCGTATACGTGACATTTTATATATAGAACGTTTTAGGCTACTGCTTAGCTTTGTGTCAACGTTCTACACATCACGTCAGTTATTCTATACACTCTGAGGTAGACTAGTTGCTATCCAAGGCTACAGAATCCGGTCTGCCCTGCTATTTTCTCATAAGTGGGGGGGGGAAGAAGAGGATCCATATCTTTCCCAAGGGTATTAGCACGTAAGTGAATGTAATGGATTCGACTGGAATTCGAACTCGACTCTCTAATTCCTCAATTACTCCACCGCATAATCAGGTTTAAAATGCATTATTAAATCATTATAATTTCCAGTGAAATAATTTTCATAAAAAAGGAAATTTTCTACCTGATGAATAAAATATTGGAAAATATCTCTTCAGCAATGTCGTAAAAAAATGGAATTAAAGAGAATTAATGAAAGAGAATAAAATGAAATAAAATAAAAATAAAATAAATATAAAATATAATAAAAATAAAATTAAAATAAAAATATAAAATAAATATAATATATAAAAATAAAATAAAAATAAAATAAAAAATGAAATAAAATTAAATGAAAGAGAATTAATGAAAGAGAATAAAATATTGGAAAATATCTCTTCAGCAATGTCGTAAAAAGATGGAATGAAAGAGAAGGAAAACGATAAACAAAGAAGGAGAAAGAGGAAAAGAAAAAGTGTGAGAGAAAAATGTATGGGTAATACGTTGAGAAAGAAAGAAAGAAAGAAAGAAAGAAAGAAAGATGGAAAAGAGAAAAAAGAAAGAAGGTCGTGAAGAAAATCAAAAACAGAGTGAGAATAAAGAAAAGGAAAAGAGAAAGAAAATAAAGGAAAAAACATTGAGATGGAAAAAATAACGAAACAAAATAAAAGAAAAGAGAAAGAGGAAGAAAAACATAGGAAGAATGAAGACAAAGGCAGAAAAGGAAATAATGGAAATAGAGAGAGAGAAAAAGAGAGACGAGAAAAAAAAAGGAGAAAATGAGTAGAGAAAAAATAAATATGGAAAAAAGGAAAAAGAAAGAAAATAAGGGAAATACACGGAGAAAGATAGATGAAGAAAAAGAGAATATATAAGTAAAAGCGAGAGACTAAGAGAGTGAGAAAGAGAAAGCTATAGGGAACAAATGAGAGAGAGCGAATAAAGTTTAGGGAAAATTAGCAAGAGTGAGAGGAAAAAAAGAAAAAAAAAGAAAAGGAAGATGGCAGCAAAAGAACAAAGTGATTAAAACAAAAATAATATATAGAAGAGAAATAC